AAGCATTCAAATGGACTGGGAGGGGACAGTGGGAGGGTACAACAGAGGTCCGAGTAAAAGAGGGGCCTTTTATCTCTCCTTCGGAAATATTCAGAAAAATTCATCTCACTGGGAAAATCACGAGCAGCAGAAAAGAACTATAGTCAAGGCCCAAGTACCCCAAGTACAAAGACACCGCACGGGGGCGAGAATAAGGAGCAGAATGACAGCCCATGAAGTCGTGCCAAAAGGATAACGCCCTCCAAACATGAAAGCCGTGCGTTTCCCAAACTGTTCTCTGTTTCTATGAGTTTGGTGTTTTTGGATTCCACACATGAGGTTGGACAATTAAGTTCGCAAACTCATCCTAGAAAAAGTGCTGCCTACCTCATGGCTGAATATCACTACGGTCACCTTTGAAATATTCCCGTTGGGAAGCTATGCACCGACGCCAGCGCCTAGTCCACCCTTCAAAACAATTTGGAACTCTTTTTCTGGAATGGCCATCAGAGCTGTCGTCATATTACCCTTGATGTCCTGAAGGTCATCAAAATGTCTTCCTTTCAATATTTCCTTTATCTTTGGGTAAAGAAAGAAGTCACTGAGGGCCAGATCAGGTGAGTGGGGAGGGTGTTCCAATACAGTTAGTTATTTGTTTACTGGCTAAAAACTCACTCACAGACAGTGCCGTGTGAGCTGGTGCATTGTCGTGATGCAAGAGCCATGAATTGTTGGCAAAAAGTTCAGGTCATTTTCATCTTTTTCATGCAGCCTTTTCAGCACTTCCAAATAGTAAACTTGGTGAACTGTTTGTCCAGTTGGTACAAATTCATAATGAATAACCCCTCTGATGTCAAGAAAAGGTTAGCAACATCATTACAACAAGTTCGTGAACTTAATTGTCAGACCTCATAAGTGAGATTTGTCTTTCTCTGACTGGCTTATCTCACTCAGCGTGATGCCTTCAAGGTCCGTCCATGTTGTTGCAAATGGCAGGATTTCCTTCCTTTTCATGGCTGAATAGTGTCCATTATTTTAGAGAGTAAGAAACTAATAGAAGTTGTGAAAGAATAGCCTACATCAGAATCAGAAAAGAAACTCAGAAACGAAGCAATTGGAGAAAAGGAAAATTTGAAAAGAGGTGACAGAACTCAGAAAAGAATTAAAATAAAAGAGGAAACCATTTGGGTCGGCCGAGTGGCACGTTGGTTAAGAACTGGCTTGGGACGCCAGAGGGCCCCGGTTCGGATCCCACATATGAGGGCCAGTGACACTGCCCCCTGCAGCTAAGATGCTGAACAACAGCTCAACCTGGAGTGGGGCTGCTGTGAATTGCCAGCGACGGCGTAGGCTGTGGGTTGCCATGGGCTACCGTATGTAGCCAGCAGCCAGCGTGAGCGGCCAGCAGCCACAGTGAGTGGCTGTCCAGAAGCCAGCGACTGATCTGCCTTGCCCGAGAAGAGCGTAATGATGGTGCCAACTTGGGCCAGTGTGGTGATGTCCTCCACACCTGGACTGAAGAACAAAATGACAGCAACTTGTCTGTTCCCCTTCTCCCAATTCCCCAGCACTGTTCCCATCCCCACAATTCCCCAATAAAAATCTTTAAAAAAATAAAAATTAAAAAAATAAATAAAATAAAACTTTATTGGGGAACAGTGTGTTTTTCCAGGACCTATCAGCTCCAAGTCAAGTCGTTGTCTTCAATCTAGTTGTGGAGGGCGCAGCTCACTAGCCCATGTGAGAATCGAACCAGCAACCTTGGTGTTAAGAGCCTGCGCTCTAACCACCTGAGCTAACCAGCTACCCTTACCTTAAATTTTTTTAAAGATGCTGGTATTTTTTAAAAGTTTAATGACTTGAGGCCTTCCAGACACTGCCGCCCGGACTTCCCTACGCTCAGCCATGGTCAACCCCATCGTGTTCTTCCACATCGCCGTGGACGGCGAGCCCTCGGGCCGCGTCTCCTTCGAGCTGTTTGCAGACAAAGTTCCAAAGAGAGCAGAAAACTTTCATGCCCTGAGCACTGCAGAAAAAGGATTTGGTTATAAGGGGTTCCTGCTTTCACAGAATTATTCCAGGATTTATGTGCCAGGGTGGTGACTTTACACGCCATAACGGCACAGGTGGCAAGTCCATCTACGGGGAGAAGTTTGATGATGAGTGTTTCATCCTGAAGCATACGGGTCCTGGCATCCTGTCCATGGCAAACGCTGGACCCAACACAAACGGTCCTCAGTTTTTCATCTGCACGGCCAAGACCAAGTGGTTGGATGGCAAGGTGAAAGACGGCATGAATATTGTGGAAGCCATGGAGAACTTTGGGTCCAGGAATGGCGAGACGAGCAAGAAGATCACCATTGCTGACTGTGAACAACTCGGATGCATTTGACTGGTTTTATCTTAACCAGACCATTCCTTCTATAGTCAGGAGAGCACCCCCGTCCCATCTGCTCAGAACACCCCATAATCTTTGTGCTCTCGCTGCAGTTCGTTGGGTTCCACATTTTCCTTGCCCCCTCCAAGTCTAGCTGGGTTGCAGAATTAAGTTTATGATTATGAAATAAAAGCTAAACAACAACAACAACAAAAAAAGTTTAATGACTTCAAATACACACACACTGTAATCAGTGTGATCCGTTCAGCTGGCAGATGGAACCAGGCCTCAGGGGAAATTCCAGCTCAAACTGCTATCCCAGGAGCTAAACAATCTTGACTTTCATCTGGAAAATTGCTGTTTCTGCCAGAAAGTTTGGGAAACGTGGCCTCCCACAACAGAAGACACCTGATCACTCAGACATGAGGACAACTCAGCAATTCTGCGCTAGTGCCAGGGAAAACTGACTAATTTGAGGTGGGTGTCAAGGCATATTTTCATTTTATTTGCACATATGCGCCCATGGCAGGCCTGGACCCCACTCCGGAAGGTGATCTCGGGTTTAGGGCAGTGCCGTCCCTGGCTTCCCTCCCTTCCTGTTCCCCCTCAGTGAGGAGTCGTTTACCCCGACTGCTGCTAGCAGCTTGGCTCTTGCCCGGCACCTGCCTAGGTTTCGCAGGTGTCGATTGTCACATGAAGGGCTGGGGTGATGGTGAGCTGAAGACAACTGGGATTTGCTTGGGCAGGGGTGGGTGTGGAGGGAAGGGAGGAGGAGTGTAGATGAGCAGAGGGGCACCAAAGCTGGTATCACGGTTGGCCATGCAGTGAAGCTGGACAGGCCAGTGGAGCTACGATGCTGGACGGTCCCCACAGGCGGGTAACCCACATGACGAAGTCTGATGTGTGAGTAGAATGCACAGTGGGACAGAGTGGAGGCCAGGCCACCAGCAAGGAGTCCGGGCAGGAGGTGCCAGAGGCCTGCACCAGGAGAGTGGCCATGGGAAGGGGGAGAAGTGGACACCGCTGGAAAATGTCTGGACATCAGGGAAGTGAGGAATTGGAACCTGAATATAGAGTTTGAAACTAGAAAGATGGGAAGCCAGCCAAGGCCCAGTGCCTGGAACACCCCATCTCTGGTTCCAGGGGGTGGCTGTGCACCAGGGCTTGCAGGGGGGCTGGAGGCCCCCCCACCCCAGCCTCATCACATGCTCCCTCACACTCCTGCCCTCCAGCCACTCTTTTTATTTTTATTTTTATTGGGGAACAGCCATGGTCATTGGCTACACGTTGCTTTCATGCTACAACGGCATAGTTGGCTCTTTCAGGGAGGGCGCAGCTCACTGTGGCCCATGCGGGGATTGAACCAGTAACCTTGGTGTTATCAGCACCACGCTCTAACCAACTGGGCTGACTGGTCACCCCCCTCCGGCCACTCTTAACACACCAAATCCTTTCTCACCTGGGGGCCTTTACACCTGCTGTTGTCTATCCTGCAATGCTTTCCCGTGGACTCAGGAACTGACTCCTTTTCCTTTCCGCAGTCAGGTCTCTCAGCTCAAGCAGCAAGTCCTTCCAGCCTGCCCTTGCTCAAGAGGCCTATCTATCGTTCTGTACGAGTTTTCTGTTGCTGCTGTAACAAATGACCACAAACTTCGTGGCTTAAAACAACACACCTTTGTTCTCTTGTAGTTCTAGAGACAAGAAGCCTAAAAGCAAGTTGTCTGCAGGGCTGGTTCCTTCTAGAGCCTCTAGAGGAGGCTCCATTTCCTTGTCATTTTCAGCTTCTGGAGCCACCAGCATCCTTGCTCTGTGGCCTCTTTTGCACATTCCTCCAGCCTCTTTCTTCAGGCTTCACATCTCCTGCCTGGTCTCCCGGTAATCTTCCCTCGTCACATCTCACTCTAACCTTGTTCATTCATTCGACCGTGTTGAATGAAACCTTACAAGTGAATGGTCTTGTGAAGACCATTGTGATTATATGGGGGCCTCCTGGATAGTCACCGTCTCAAGATGCTTAACTGCAGCACATCTGCAAAGTCCCTTTTGCCATGGAAGGTCATACAGTCTCAGGATCTGGGGGTTAGGACATCAAACTCTTTAGGAGGCCACTATTCAGCCTCTGTCACACCCTCTCCTCTCCCACCATATAATTTCCTATCACTACAACTGTTCATCTTCCGCGCTGCAATGATCCCAGGTGGAATTCTTCTGCTCATTTGTTTCTGCTTATCACCTGTCCTCCTCTCCCCTCATGTCTGGTTCCTCCACAATTCTTTTCCCAGGATCAACATTGTTGGTGTTCAGTAACTACGTGTTGAATGAAGATAAGAATGGATCAGGGCCGGCCGAGTGGCGCAATGGTTAAGGGCTGGCTTGGGACGCCAGAGGGCCCCGGTTCGGATCCCACATATGAGGGCCAGTGACACTGCCCTCTACAGCTAAGATGCTGAACAACAGCTCAACCTGGAGCTGGGCTGCTGTGAGTCGCCGGCGACAGCGTAGGCTGCAGCCCCTGCTGCAGTGGGTTGCCATGGGCTACCGTGTGTAGCCAGCAGCCAGCGTGAGCGGCCAGCAGCCGCAGTGAGCGGCCGTCCAGAAGCCGGCGACTGATCTGCCTCGCCCGGGAAGAGCGCAATGATGGTGCCAACTTGGGCCAGTGAAGCAACGTCCTCCACAACTAGACTGAAGAACAAAAAGACAGCAACTTGTCTGTTCCCCTCCCCCAATTCCAAAATAAAAATCTTTAAAATAAAGAATGGATCAATGGATGGACTGATGAATGGATGGATGATGGTAGATGATGGATGGATGGATGGACAAATGAATGAATGAACAAATGAATAGCCAGTCTCCTACATGTGGGACAGAGGAAAATGTAGGCTTCTGCAGAGGTTCCCAAGATGCACCTTCCATCACAGATGGTCCAGCCTAGCTGTAGGAGGGTGGGAAGGAGGAGAAGGGAGTTCTACTCACCCTTCCCCATCAGGAAAGCTAGCTAGACCTTGGAGAGACCTTTTTATCTCAAGGGCTAACACCAAAGGGCCTCCGGGATTGACCTGAGACCCAGACCAGGTACACATTTGCCTTGTCTCCTGGAGGATCTCAGCCACGCAGAAGAGGGGGGGGGGCCTGAGACCACGTGGCCCTAAACACCCAGCCTATCACCATAGAAAGGGACGCAGCACTGACACACGCCACAAAATGGATGAACCGTGAAAACGTTACGCTCAGTGATGGAAACGAGACGCAAAAGATCACAAAGTGTACAGAAGTAGATTGGTGGTCACCAGGGCTGGGGCATGGGGGATGGGGAGTGACTGCTAATAAGCATCGGGCTTCTTTTGAGGGGGAGACAAAAATGTCCAATAATTAGATTGTAGTGATGGTTGCACACCTCTGTGAATATATCGAAATCATTGAATTGCACACTTTAAAGAGGCAAAGTGTTTGGAATGTGAATTATATCTCAATAGACCTGCTGAGAAAAACGAAGCAGTGGCCTATCAGAGCTACAGTGGAAGGAGAGGGCGGAGCATGGAGCAGAGGTACCATCGAACCCCACCACCCTCTCCATGGCACAATTGGGGAAACCGAGCCTCAGTTTCCCTCAGTTTATCAGAGGCAGAGCCAGTGCTAGAACCCGGGGCTGCGGAGCTCTCCTCACATCTCGATGCTTCCATGTCAGGCTGAAGATGTGGACATGGACAGGTCCCAGCCCCCCGGCACGGGTCCTGAGGTTGGGGTTGGGGGTGGGGGGTGTCCAACAGATACACAGTTACTCCCTGGGCCTCAGTTTCCTCATTTCCAGCACCCTGCAGGCCTGCAGCTTTACCTGTTTCATTCATCAATGGATTCCCAGGGCCTAGAACAGGGCCTGGCACATAGTAGGTGCTCAGTAAATACGTGTTGGATGACTCCGTAAGTGGGGGATGTTATGAGGATTAAATGATTCAATTTATGCAGGCCCTGGCTCACAGGACAGTTAGTGGCAGCTGTAGCTGTCATTACCATCAATGCACCTGTCCCCTGATCAGGTGGGACAAACGGCAGCAGAGGGGTGAGAACAGGAGGATAAGAAGTGCAAGATCCCAGACCGGGGAGGGGGGGGGCAGTCAGAGCTGCCTGACTCGGGCCTCATCCACCCCTGTCCTCTCAGCACCCCGCGGCCTCATGCAGCCCCTGCCCCATTCACCTGTGCACACACCTTCCTGCCTCAGGGCCTTTTCATACCGTTTCCTCTGCTGGGATGCCTTCTCACCAGAGTCACTCCTGCCCAACTTTCCCCACAGGCTTCACTGTCACCTCTTCAGAGACGCTACCCTGATCTCCCTGGCATACCTGGCCCTGGTGCCTTCTGTTCAGGTGAGGTTTTACCTGTGTTTGGATCATCTGATTCTGGTCTGCTTCCTGGCTTGCCATCAGCTCCCTGGGGGCAGACGCCTTGTCTGTCCCATTCATCAGCCTGGAGCCCAGCAGGTGCTCTAGGAGTGTCTGCACTATGAGAGGTCTGAGCAAGGTTCTGGGGCCCGGCTGACTCAGGGGGGCACACCCGTCACCCAGGGAGCAGCTGTGGCCCACAGAAGGGCCCTGGCGGGAAACAGCCCTGCCCAGAGCCCCCAGCAGGGAAAGGTCCTGGCCTGAGGTTGCCTGGGGTGGTGTATGGGGTGGTGTATGCCTGGGGTGGTGCACCTATGAGGCCCATGGCAGGGGACAATTAAAAATCAAGTTCCTTTCTTTAGGGAGGGGCACCTGATGGCAGGGTGGTGGCTGTTCAGAGTGTGATGTAGAGTGTGAAAGTGGGCAGTGCAGGGACTGTGTCTCAGTGTCCGAGTAGGCCAGCACTGGACAGGTCACCTGGGGACTGAGCCCTGAGCCTCGTGGCTGGACAGAGGGAGTGAATCAATGATGCTGGGCCTGGGCAGAGCCCTCTGAGGTACACGAGCGCTTTTCCACCAGGATCTGATCCCTTCCTCACTGCCCCTCTGCAGTCATTGTCCCCCCCACCTGACAGGTGAGGAAACTGAGGCTCAGGACTACCGAGATGGGAAGCGGCCACGGAAGCCCCCCATGCCAGCTGGGCTGTCTCTACCGGTCCTGCGGGGAGCCCAACCTCCAGCTTGGGGACACCTGGTGGCAACAGAACAGCAGCAAACCCAGGCGAAGAGTGGCTTTCCCATTGACAAGCACCTCTCATTAGTCTGGAAAGAAACAAATTTCCATACCAAATAAGGCGGTGGACTTGAGAGCCGCTGCCCACTTCACACAATTCCTTTTAAGTGTCCAGATGCAATTACACTTGGAACTTGCCTGGCCTGGGCCTCCCCCAGCCTCCCCCCACCTCCCCCTGGCCTCCCCACATAAACAAGAGGCCCAGCTGGGCCCCAGCTGGCCCGCCCTGGGGGGGCAGGGAGGGTCACCAGCTACCTGCTGCCTGCCCAGCCTCTCAGCCCCCTCGGCGTCCTCGAGCCTGCCTCTCGTACCTCCCCCGCCCCAGGAGGTCAGCTGGGCCCTGCAGGGAACATCCCCACTCCCGTCCTCGCCTGAGGTTTGCACTTGGGCAGGGACACTGGGTTCCTGGGCAGTGGGGGGTGGGAAGGTGGGGGCGGGGGCAGGAGGCCAGGTGCAGGGGAAGCTCTATTTCCACTTGCCACGGAGGCACCCTCCCACCCACCCACCCACATACACACAAACTGGGCACCATTTGCTCCTGCAGGGAAAGCGCTGGTGGGAATTCCCTCGGGCTCCCTGGGCCGTGAGAAAGTTGGCCCAGGGCAGGGGGGGGCTTTCCCGCGGGGCTCCCTGGGAAGCCACTCCTCAGCGCCCAGTCCTCAGGCTACCCCTCGGGGTACTGCAACCCCCAGGCTTTGGCTCGGTGCCCCAGGACCTCGCGGGCGCTCGTGGGGGAAGCGGGGAGTCGAGGTTGACTCACCCTCCCGCCTAGCGCGCACACACCAGGCAGCACAGCCGCCAACTCCCTGCTCGGCCCAGGCAAGCGGTGATTTTCCACTTGCAGCATCTGCTTGCCATTAGAGCTGGGAGAAGGGAATTCCTGGTTCCATAGGTCAGCAGGGGGCCCTGGGCAGATTGGGGGGGGAGGAGGGAGTGGGGTGCCACCTGGGTGGCCTCACCGACCTGCTGCCAAGTCTACCTCTCAAAAGTGCCTGCAGCACCCCCTCCACAGAGCCCTCACCCTGCTGCCTCCTAGCTTCCCTGCGTCAGCCCCTCAGTACATTTGAACAACCGGGTGGGGACCCGCCCCTCCTGGGCCTGCACGCCCCCGAAAGGCCCAGCTGGAGCTGACCGGAGGCGCCAGGCAAGTGGACAGCAGGGCGCTCCCTCTCCTGGGCAGCCCTGTGGAGCCGCAGGACGCTCCGGAGATGAACAGCTGGACACTGGCAAGAGTGCAAGGGGCCAACGTGACGTCACCAGGCAGAGAGATGAGCTCCCAGTGGGGCTCTGGGGGGGCTCCTGAGTGGGCATTCCTTCCCGAAGCCCTCATCCCCGCTCAGCCCCTCCTCCTCCTCCCCCTCCTCCCGCCGGGCCTGGAATTGGGTTTGGGGCGGGTTCTGCTTCCAAAGCCATCTTCTCCGGCGGCAGGCGAGGGCTCTCCTCCACTCTGAGCGCGCATTTTCTGGAGGCTCGGGCCCTGCTCTGCGCGGGACTGCTTCCTCGTGGGTCACGGCCAGAGGCAGGCGTCGCCGAGGAGCCCTCCACAAAGGGGCAGCTGCAGGTAGCTCCGTGGGGCCCAGGGCCCCGGGGGGCTGGGGGAGGGGGCTGTCTAGGAATCGGGGCTGCAGGGGGAAGGCCAGGCAGAGAAGGAGAATGAGGTGGGCGCCTTCAGGGCAGGCAGCGCCCAGAAACCACACAGCCCCAAGCAGTAGCCCTGACACCCCGGGGAGGGCGTTCGCCTCTCAAGGGCCTCCTGCAGCCTCTGAGGCTCGGGAGTCCCAGGGACATTGGGGATCTTTGAGAGTCCCCCTCCTGTGTGGCAGGCCCTGGCGTTCTGGCAGTTCCTGACCCCCAAGCCGTCCTCCACTTCCAGCTCCTGCTCTGTCTCCTGTGGGTGGGGGCGTCCCCTTTGTCCCTCCACCACCCTCACCAGCAGCTGTCCAGGCCGGGAAGGGTGGGGAGGGAACACCCAGCAGGCAGCATCCCAAGCGTGGTGAGATGGCGCCCACTGCTCTCACGCACTAGGGGCACGCCCCTCTTTCCATCGGGTGCTGAGCTCCTGCAGCTGTGGGGCCGGCCCTGGGGTGAACACCAGGGAGGGATCGGCCTGGACAGCCACAGGAGGCTGGGCAGCTGCATCCCCGCTTCCTGCAGACCCGAAGCTCCTGATGTGGTATTGGCGTTGGATGGAGGCCTGGAGATCTTCTGGAAGGTCTTGCTTCCCCCCCCCCCCCATAAACCTCTTCAATCCAAATTGTGAGCAGGGGGATTGAGGGCCTGGAGTGAGAAAACACAGGTCCTCTGTGTCTGGGGGGAGTGACAGCCAGTGCTCTCAAGCCCAGCCCAGGTGGCAGCCTGGAGACAAAGCAAGGGGCTGGGAAGGTGGATTGGAGAACTGGGGTCTGATGGTTCCCACCTGGGCCTCCTGGAGGCCAGCCTCACCTAGTGGCCTTGAGGTCCCGGGCATAGGTTTGGGGCTGGGGTGGGGTGGGGGGGTTTGAAAGGAGATGAGGAGCTTCCTGAGGCCCATGGAGGCAGACAGGTGGCCACAAGTGGCCAGGAACCTCGGGCTTGTGTTTTGAGGGGAGGGTCAGGAGTGAGCTGAGCTGGCAGCTTTTTTCTTTTCTCTCTTTCTTTTTTCTTTCTTTTTTCCTGTCTGCTAGCTCTGTCATAGACCAGATCCTGACCTGAGGAGCACAGCACTCTCACATGCACTCACACACATCCCATGCACATGTCACACACATGTATTTTTATGGCCCATCTGGGGTCCATTTGGCTTCTAGATCTCTCTGCATGAGTGCAATAGCATCAGATTGCCAGTGGCAGGGCAGAACGAGGGCTCAGAGACACACAAGGGGCACCCACCCACCAAATCAATCAGCAAAGATGAGCTCAGGGCCCCAACTGCCTGCCCAGCCCAAGCCTGGCATCATGGGGAGGTCGCAGCCAGCTGCCCTGGGGGGCACCTGTGTAGTTGGATATCTAACCTGCCTAGGTGAAAGGGCGGGGCTCTGGATAGTCAGAACATCCCTGGGGGCCACAGACCTCAGGGGAGGTACATGTCTGCAAGGGCCACCAAGAAGAATAGGCACAGTGAAGGGGGTGTACCTGGAGCCAGGAGGGATGGGGGTGAGACAGATAGGTTTGGGGTTGCAGGCACAAGGAGAGCTTGGGCAAGCCCCAGCGCGGGGAGAAGCATGCCTGTCCGTGGCAATGGGGACAGTGGCCCTACGACAGTCAAGACTTGCGGGGGCGGGAAGAGGCTAAAGACACACTTCCTTAGCAACCGCTCTCTGCAAACCCGCCCTGCACGCGCATCACCAGAACTCGCTCACTTATTCTCGCGCACAAGGGCTCTCCCCCCACCTCTGCGAGTAACTGCGCTGGGGCACCTGTGCAGCTCCCACTCTGTCGCGGGCAGCTGTCCAGGGTGGAGCCTTCCAACTCCGCGGGGCCTCGGGACAGCACTGGCGTCAGGGGACCCGGAGAACCAAGGGTTAAAGAGGGATGGGCAACCCGGGCGGACAGCCACCCTCCCCAGCCAATAATGGGCGCGCCTGCCGAGGCCCCGCCCCGGACTGGGGTGTGGGTGCGCGTGGCGGCTGCAGCCCCAGGGAGGAAGGAATTCCGGGGGAGTGGAGTGGAGCAGGCTGCCCAGCGCTCCCTCCAGGCTGAGGAGAGGTCTAGCAGCCTGCAGCCTGGGCTCTGCCCCTGCAAAGCTCTTCTCTGCTCACAGCCTCAGCTTCACCACCTGCGCAGTGGGATAGGTGCTTGCCTGCAGGGGCAGAGCTCGGGTTGGGGGACAGGAGTAAGTTCCAGGGGACACTGGGGCAGTAGGACCAATGAACTCTGCCCGGCCAGGGTGGAACAGTCTTTGGCAGGGACGCCCACTCCAAGGACTGTCATCCCCTCCAGGCCTCCCCACCTGCTGTCCAAACGGGTTGATGAGTGTGGGCGGGCTGGCACTCATTGACACAGGGACTGATGGTGGTGACAATGGTGCCGATGATGACTGAGCTGTCCTGCCGTCCTGCCTTCAAGGCACCTGTAGGGGAAAGACCAGACACCATAGCATGTTACAAACACAAGGTCAGGCAAAGGCCGCCTCCACCAGGAAACCTCCCCGCCTTCAGGGCTTGATTGCTGGGAACCCCTGTCCCACCATGGGCTAAACACAGAGGTACCCAAGGAAATATGGGGGGGCTCCAGAAATCTTGTAGACCAAGGGAGAAGGAGAGGGGCTTCTTCCTCAGCAAGGTCTCACTAGCAAGTCAGGAGGGGGTGAGTGAGCTGCCCAGGCAGGAGGTAACCTTCTCTGGACTCAGCAGGACAGTCGCTGTGCCTCCCAGGCGGCCCTGCCTTGAGGGAGCCAGGTGACTGCTTGTCAGCTTCCTCTAAGGTGAGCGCCCAAGGGGCCTGGGCACAGGAGTCTGAGTGGGGCTGGAGGACATTGCTGACCTCATGCGGCCCTTTCTGCCTTTGGCAGGTGGGGTGTGCTGGTCGGCAGGTGAGCTGTGAACCGAGCTGTGAGGAACCTGGACTCGCCTGGCCTGGAGATGGCTGGAAACTGCTCCTGGGAGGCCCATCCCACCAACAGGAATAAGGCAAGGCCGCACAGGCATGGCAGGGGTATGGCCCCAGGTCTGCAGCATGGGTGCGGTGGGAGGGGCACACCCAGCCAGCATCTCCCCCTGCCACACACGCTGTACTGCCCAGGCCCCATCCTCTAGCTCAGGACCCACGGGTGGGCAGCAGGGACCCCCTGGCACTGGTTACCAGGTCCCTCAGATCCGGTGTCCTCATCAGTGATGCAACCACAGGGGACTGGGCACCCTCCAATCCCTTCCCCTGCTGACCTTGGGACATCTGTTATTAACCAAGAGTCCTCCTTTTATCTCTTCCCTGTGGAGATGGGGTGGTCAGCTACTTCCCACGGCCTGGCCCTGCCAGGAAGCCCTGAGAGGCTGGCTCCAAGGTGGCCCTAATGTCACGTGCTCCACAGAGCACTGCCAGCTCTGGGCCGCCCTGCCAGTGTCGCTCAAGGAGGGTCCGTTAGTTACAGTTTACCTCCCATCTTTAAGCACCAGCGAAGGCTGAGATTCTGACAGCCCATCAGGCTGACCTGCTCCTTCTGCCCCCCACCCCCACCGTCATCCCCCACCCCCTATTTCTCAGAGGCCCTTGAACACTCTGGAATTCCCTCTGAATTCGGGCAAAACGCTGTCAAGTTGGAAGGACCTTGGTGCTTGCTTAGGGCACCCTCTTTCACATTTGAGGAAACGGAGGCTCCCACCAGCATAGTAGCTTGGCTGGGGCGAGCCCAGAGGTCGGGGCAGAGCCAGGACTCCCGCCTGGAGCCCTGAATCCCAGCCCCTGGCATTTCCCTCCTCCAGTAGTGACCACTGTGGAGTGGCAGCAAAGGGGAGCAGAGATGGGGCTGCCTAGGGAGAGTCTCAAAATATCCTGGCAACAAGACTGAGCCAGGGAGGGGCCAGGCTCCGGAGCAGGCCTTTTACAAGGCGGCATGTGTCTGGGGTGGCAGCTCCACACCCAGTGACTCACCCAGCCCTCCCGCCCTGACTCCGAGGACAAGATTGCAGGCTTTTTCCAGCCTGGAGAGGCACTGGGTGACCCGATCTGCGTGATGCAGCTCCGGCAGCCCGGTCCCCTCCCGGCGCTGGAGCTGGCTCTCCACAGGCTTGTTTAGGTCCCTGGTCTGATGGGTCACAGGGTCTGGTTCCGCAGGTGAGAGGAGGCTACTCTGTGGCCTGGAGTGGTCAAGCCACCAGCAGGAAAGGCTAAGAGCGAGCGAAGGGGCTTGGGGGTTGACAGGCAGACAGAGACATTGAGCCAATAAATGCACTTAGAGGATGATAGGTGGTGACTAGGACCCCCATAAAGTGCTTGCCCTGACCTCACAGGGTCTCCTCAAAGTTTGTCCAACACCCTCCAATCCCTGTGTACGGGTCCCCCTTGACCCGACCCAGAAGTCCTCTTCCTTTCTGACAGGGTGTCGGACCCATAGAGCACTCTGGCTTGCCAGAGCCGAGGGCCACCTGGGAGGTGGCAGAGCTGTCCTGCTTCAGGAACCCTCCCGCTGTTTTTGTTCTGGAGAGTCTGAGCTGGGGACTGGTGCCTTAGATGGGGGGAGCAGGGAGACAGGAGGGGGTGGGGGACAAGGCCAAGGCCAGGCCCAGGCTGTGTAGGAAAGAGCTGGGATGGATTAATGTCTGCCAGGGTGAGGGAAGGGGAGTGGCAGTGCTCTGGGCAGCCAGGCTCTGCACTTGGAGTGAGAGGTCAAAATCCACAGCCTGAGAACTGAATCCAGCTTGTAGATGTGTTATGTTTGGCCCGCACAGTGTTTTTTAAATGTGAACATTTAAAGATCAGGATAGTCAGTCGCATTACAATCTAGAGTTCTGGCTTGTCTGGGGACGGGGACGGGTGGTCAGGGCTGGAGCAGAGCAGCTGCCTGCTTGCTCAGAACAGGTGCTCTCTGGCTCGCCACCGCCCCCTTCGCCCCCACCACCAGTTTCCCTGCCCCTGCCCACCTGCAAGCACTGATATGCCAGCCCAGACCCTGCAGGCAAGACTGATACTCAGCTGAATGCACGCGTGCTGTCAGACCAATTGTTAAAATACTGAAGTGCTTCCCCACAGCTTGATAAATAGCAGCTGCCTGAGCTCCTCCCCCTCCCTAGGGGCTCCCCCCCCCCTCCAGACCAGATCCAGTTGCCAGGAGATCCACAAACCCAGAGGCATTGCCCTGGCCCAGCAGGGGGTGCCTCTGATACCCTAGGTGTCTCCCCACTATGAGCCAGGTCCACATTTTCTTTTTTTGTGACTTACAAATGATTTTATTTTTTAAATACATATTTTCACATTCTAGTGTGAAAAATTGCAGTGTACAGAAAGCTTGGAGGAATAAGATGATGCACGTGCACACACCCTTCAGCGACACCTTTCATTGTTAACCTTCCTCCACGTGCACTTTTTCTCCATCTGTGTATCCCTTTTTTTTTTTTTAAGATTTTATTGGGGAATTGGGGGAGGGGAACAGATGAGTTGCTGTCCTTTTTGTTCTTCATTCTAGTTGTGGAGGACGTCACTTCACTGGCCCATGTTGGTATTATCATGGCGCTCTTCCCAGATGAGGCAGATCGGTCGCCACCCTCTGGATGGCCACTCACAGTGGCTGTTGGCAGCTCACACCGGCTGCCAGCCACTCACGCTGACTGCTGGCCACACACGGTAGCTTATGGCAGCCCACTGCAGCAGGGGCTGCAGCCTATGCCATCGCCGGTGACTCACGGCAGCTCAGCTCCAGGTCGAGCTGTTGTTCACCATCTTAGCTGTAGAGGGCAGTGTCACTGGCCCTCATGTGGGATCCGAACCGGGGCCCTGCT